TTTTTACCTTGGGAATAATTTGGTTTCCTAGCATAGCAAAAAGCAAAATGCCATCTCTCTTTCAACTACTGAGGCTGAGTACATTGCTACGGGGAGTTGTTGTGCACAAATGTTGTGGATGAAGCAAATGCTTCATGATTATGGGATAGATCAGAACACTCTCACTCATTTCTGTGATAACACAAGTACCATAAACATTTCAAAAAATCCTGTCCAACACTCTCGCACCAAACACATTGACATTTGTCATCATTTTATTCGAGAGTTAGTGGAAGAGGGCCTTGTTGTTCTTGAACATGTACCCATTGAGCATCAAAAAGCTGATATTTTTACAAAACCCCTTGATCTACTTCGGTTTGAGTTCCTTAGAAAGACATTGGGTGTAGTGCTCGATCACTAGAGTGTTACTTGTTCCTTGAGTGGGTGTGAGTGTTTGGCTTTATGTGTACTTGGATGCTATAATCTCAATGTCATTGATTCTTGTCATCTCTGCATCTAAATTTATATGAACGCTGCTCATGCTGCTTACAAGATCTTATTCTTCTGTGTTCATAGCTCATTCTGAATGCCCATGCTCATTGACTTCATGATCGCATTCTGTACACATCCTTGAGATAAACTATTGCAGGGGTTTCCGCATAAGTGATCAAAGTTCTCTATGGATCACTAACAGTGTTTCTTGTATTTTTTCAGAGGAATTGACCTATACTAGTATATCATGGGTGATGTTGAGTCTCTTAACCATCTACCATCATTTTTCACTTCCATGGTTTCTCCCTCAGTTCCTTGAAGTCCGGGCATTAGGAAAAGGCTACCTCAGAGGCACCAACCAGGCCATCTTTGTTTTTATTTCACTCTTCTCTGGTTTGGTCTCCATACTCTTCAGCATGTATGCACCAGTGAGTGTCCACAAGAAAGAAATGTTGAAAAAAAAAAAATGACTCATTGATTGAGGGGGAGCCTCCGCTTTTACTCAACAAATACCCCGTGCTTCCTAGTGGTTTGACTTTTCTATGTTATGTTTAGTTACTCTTGCTGAAGGTCCAGCCATCTGATCACTACGAGGATTAACTCTAGTTCTGTGGCCTCTCAAGGATTGCACACACACACATTTATTTTGTGAGCTCTCATGTTGGTTTTTGAGTTGTGCATTCTGATGAAGCTTATGATCATTGATTAAATTTTATCTGATTTGCTCATGATTATATCCTTCATATTGTTTTAATTGCAAGTTTGCGGGCCTCATGGTTTGTAGATTATTTCACTTTAGTATCATTTTTTTTTTGTTTTTTGCTATTGGTCTCACCTACTTGTGTTTCAAGTTCCACCTCATGGTGTGAGTATTGTGTTTTTGCTCAAAAATTTTTTTTCTTGTTTTTTTTTTCTTCACTCGAGCGAGGGAGTGCACGCTTGAGCGTACGTCTATAGATGGATTTGATTTTGGGAGCATGCTTTTTAGGCTCTAGCGACTAGATCTTGGCTCGAGCGACCCCTTGCGTATAAGTGTCTTCGCTCGAGCAACATATCGTGGTTTAAATTCTGTTGCTGCGTCTCTTCGCTTTATTTTTTTCCTTCTACTTCGAGTTCTCTCTCTCTCTCTCAGCTAGGGTTTTCCTTGCCCCCATTGCTGGTACCTCCTTGGTTTTCTTACTCGATTTTTTGGAGCATCACTACTTGATCCATCTTGCATTGTCTTACTTGGTAGTTTTTTTTCTTTTTCTTTATTTTTTTTTTCATCCTTAGTTTTTTTTGTCTGTGTGTCTGCTCTATTTCGTCTTTGGTAACTAGGGTTCAATATTGTTGGTTTTGGTACTTTCTTAATGGTTCTTTGTCTCTCTATTGCATCGTGGTTTTGTGATTTGGTACATTTTTGCTTGGTTTACAATTTGGGGTTTTTAGGGCTTGATTCTTCCTACCATTAGTTGTTGTCCTTTGTTCCTAAATCTGCTTCATGATGGCTTTAGTACACTGTATGATTGCTGGTTTTTTTCATGCTTTACTGTTTCCATATTAATCATATAATTGCAATTGGTGTATGTTGGAATTTAACCTAGCACTATTTTTCATGACTTTTATATTATGCTAAGGTTTTGTGTTTTATTTTTCTAACCATGTTGGACTTTTTTGAAAAACTTGTGTTTAATTTCGGGGACGAAATTCTTTAAGGGGGGGAGGTTATAGCGGTCCCGGTTGTCCCTTTACTGTTCTGTTGTATTCCGGACTCGGTTCCGTGAAGTTGGTAGTGGTATCTAGCTTGTTGTCGTCCTTTAATTCCACTTGATTGAGTTTTAGGATGTTTTGAGGAGGGTTGTTATAGGTTGGTTAGGCCTTAGTTTCAATTCCTTGTTGTCCAGTTTTTAGGCGATCCGCTCGAGTGGGTCTTCTTGCGCTCGAGCGGGGATTGCACACCTCCAGTATTTCGTGTTCCTGCAAAACTTCCGCAGATGTGATTTTTACACTCGAGCGGGTTTGTTTACGCTCTAGCGGTAGCGCTCGAGCGGGTTTGTTGGCGCTCGAGTGGGCCTTATTGTGCTCGAGCGTGTCCAGATTTTTGTTCTTGGCGCTCGAGCGTTGTGTTCTCCGCTCAAGCGGGTCATGCGTATATGAGTTATCCGCTGGGTGATTTTAAATCACTTTTTACTTTTCCTTCTCTCTCTTACTTTTTCAAAAACCCATTTTTGGGAGCTCCTCTCTCTAAAACCTTGACTTCTCTCTAGGTATTGATCTAGTAGGAGTGATTTCCTCACCTTTGGCCATTACAAAAAAGTTATTGATCGTCGAGGGCTATCTTTTGATCCGAGCGAGAAATTCGTGGGTTGGAGCATTTTCGTCTTCTTCACCTTCTTGGTTGGGAGTCATCTTTTGAGGTAGGGATAACCTACTCCTCACTATGGGTTTTGTCTTTAAATTTTAGTATTTTGAGATGATGGGGTTGGTTTGGTAATGTTGTGAAAGTTTGGGGCTTTTGTGTAAATTTACAAAAGTTAGGGTTTTAACTATATAAAACCTAGTTGCATGTTTGGCATGGAAAAGTGAAATTAATGTTAAACATTAATGAAATGGGACCTAAGGGTTGTAATGTTAATTATGGAAAATGCCCTAATACATTGGTTATTAATTCGCATAATTAATTATGAGAAATGAGGATTGATTTGGAAAGATATGGGATTAAAGGGTGTAGTTGGATTATTTATCGCTCACCTAGTTGAAATGTTGATTATATATCCATTGTTGTGCATTTATTTTCTATATAGAAATAACTGCCTTGGGCTATCGGTGGAGGATAGTCTTGATTGTTGTAGACAATGCATGATGATTAGGCAAACTGAAACTAATCACTGGAATGTGTCATTGAGTATGATTGTTCAAAGAATACATTAAATTTATGTATTGTGTGATGATGTGTATAATTATTGTTTATATGCATTGTGTGGTGTTGGAGGAGATAGGGGATGTATTCCACGGTTTAGGGGGAGATAGGGGATAGACCTCTAAATCGGATGTTGTTGGGAGAAGATAGGGGATAGACTCCGTAGAAAGAGCTCATATGCTTATCTAGTAATGTGATGGCACAGCTCATATGCTTGTCCTTGGAAGTGTGATAGTGCTCTTATGCATATCTATGGAAGTGATGATATAGCTTGTATGCTTATCTGTTGGTGTGTGATATAGCTAGTATGCTTATCTATTATGAAATGGGAAAGTGTTTAATATGAGTTACTATCTCATATAAGTTGTTTGGCCAGGTTCTGAGCCATGGTTATAAATTGAGAATTTGAAAGGAATTGGAAAATGAAAAGTGACATAGACTTGTATGTTATGAAATGGTGATGTGATATATGTGGATGTATCAGTGTTGCTCATCTATCAATTGCTAATCTTTTAGTCATTGTTCATAGTTGGTTTAGTATATTTCCACTGGGCTGTGGCTCACCCTATATGGGAACATCATTTTCAGGTACAGGTAGCATGTCACCTCCAAGGACATAACTTGGGAGGCTAGAGGTGGACACACTTTTGTTGTCTCATTTCTTTTTGATGTATTACATGTAAATTCAAGCTAAGGGCTTAATATGTAATTGAGTTAGTACTCTCTTTTGTAACCAAGTGTTAACTTGGAAAGCTGTAAGCCCGTAGGGCATTTGCTTTTGTTGTTAACATGTAATACTTTTGTAATGAAGTACTCTGATGAATTGAAGAATGTGGATCTTTTGTATATAAATGTATGTTTACTGTAACGACCCCAAAATCCGTATTAGAGATTACCTTTACGGCCTATTGGGTTAATGCATTTTGATTTATTGATATGTGTTCAAATTGAGGAATTATTTGTTGAGCCACGACTGTAAAATTGAAATTACCGACCTTTACAGGTTCAGAAAATCACAATTGAGGACTTGGATGTGTTAATGAAAATTTTTAGAACTATTTGGGAAACCTAATTGGAAATCTAATTTGTTTGATTTGTTAATGTGCGTTTGGGTGGTTAACTTTGTACTGCAAATTGAAGGCCTTAGAGGCTTCAGAAACCAGAATAGGGGACATATTTATGATCATCACAATTTTTAGAGTCATCTGGAAAGTTTAATTGAAATTTAATTTTTCGCGATTCGTAAGGGCTTGTTTGGCCCTCCTTATTTGTGATAAAGCTTGTATAATTAATATATAGGTGTGTATGAGTTATATAAGTGGTGAACTCATACTTTTGGAGTCAAAAAACAAAATATCTAAAGAGAGAGAGAGAGGAAACCGTGAAAGGGAGAGAGGGAAGAGTGTCAATTTTCTCAACATCCATGGAGGCTTTGAAGATGAAGGAAGAGAATTGAAGGAATGAAAGAAGATCACCCATGGGACTTGGAGGAATTGAAGAGAGCTAAGAGGTAGACAAAGATTGAGTTAGGTATGAAAATCTATCTTGAAATCTTGTGTTTAAAGTATCAATTTTGGTAAAATCATAGAGATCTTGGAAGATTTAAACCCATTTGGGGTTAAGGTTTATCTATGTATTTACTTGAGCTAATTTGAGGAATTAGAAATTGAGTTCTTTAATTTTGTTTATGAGTGGAGCTCAAGCTCATGGATATCATGAAATAAACTTTAGATTATGCAAGAATCATGTGAATTTGTGGGTTGTGGGTTGTGTTTTTAAGAACCTTGAAGATCATGAAAGATTAAGCATTAATCTTGAACTTTGAGACAAAGATTGAATTGTTTAAAATGAAATTACATTAGGTTGATGTTAGTTTATCATGTTATAGGGCAATTCTACATGTTTTTGAGTGATTTATGTTAAGAACCAAGCTTAAAAATAGAAAAACCAAGTGTTGGAGCAAAAAGAGCCATTTTCGGACTACACACTGCCCAGAGCCGCACGTGCGGCCCTGTTTCCCGCACGTGCGGGAGACAGCTTTGTCCTGCCATCTTTGAATAAGCATATCTTTTGCCTCGGGGCTCCTTTTTGAGTGATTCGTGAGCCTAAAATCAAGCCCCGGAAGTCTAGTTTCCAATGGAAGTGGTCTCACTCCCAAATTCTAAATACAAAAATAGTTATGCCCAAATTGGTGACAACTATTCACTTTCTGTCAACTAATTTTATACCATTTCTTTGCCTAAACCATTTTCCATTGATTTCTCCTGTTTCTGTGACATGGAGTATAACTTATTAAGAAATAATGAGCTTGGTACCGCCATGGCTAATTGATTGAATGATCAAAGAGAATAAGTAAATGAGCGAGTATAATCTCATATTATGTGTTGTGCACTGTACTTGTAGGTCGAGACGAGGATATCGTCCTATTACCACCGGGAACCAATCACTGTGAGTAGTAGTTCTGCAATCGTACGTTTACTTACCGTAAATAATTCTTATTGTTAACGCACTGTTCTTTGTAAGCATTTATGTTGTTTAGGGATCGGTGAGAACATTGAAAGATTATGTGCACTTCGGTATGACGCTGAAACTACTCAACATTCTGGTTATGGTTAATGGTTATCCTTAAGGTATAATAACCTGTAAATTACCTATAACTCCGCACAAGAATTATTAATATTATGCAACTGGTTGGTAAGAAGGGATTATGAATATAAACCCCGCTTAATGGGAACATGATATTTTGAACGTCCTATCCTGGACTCCTACAGCCTTATTTAGTTCGATACATGTTTTATGACATAGACATCTGCCTAAAATGGATTAACGAAATGAAAATCGAACAGAACCATGGGTTTCCTTATACGTCAAAGAATTGAATATCAATAACATTGTTATATGACTCACGTTATGGTGCGAATTGTTCTATTCCCATGAATAGTACTGTAACGACACATGTGTTTCTGTAAATAATTATTATTAATACTTTGTTATATGTAAGATGACTATGGCTACATGTAATGAATCATAAAGGGAAATTTATGTGCACCATTGTGAACGGTATTCGTATGAACCTGGCATTATTATGTTATGTTTATTCACTTCGTTTATGCTATGACATAATATGAATTGTTCAGTCTTCAAGAACTATTGATTCGTAGTATGAAACTAAGTGCTGCAATGCGAACCACCTCTTGAGTCCATACATACAAGAACTGGGCTTAAACCCAATTTGGTCCCTTTATGGGTCACCCGGTTATGTGAAATTATGAAAGATATAATTTGTGAAGATATGAAAGGAAAAACTTGTGAACTTATGAAAGATATAATTTGTGAAGATATGAAAGGAATAACTTGTGAACTTATGAAAGATATAATGTGTGATGATATGAAAGGAATAACTTGTGGAACTATGAAAGATATAATGTGAAGATATGAAAGGAATAACTTGTGAATTGAATTGAAAGAACTTGTACTGAAAAAATAATTGTGAAAGATATGAAAGGTAATAATTTGTGAACTTATGAGGCCGAGGGCCACTTTGTGAATTTGTGAACTTATGAGGGCCGAGGGACACTTTGTGAATTTTGTGAACTTTGAGGCCAAGGGCCACTTTGTGAATTTGTGAACTTATGAGGCCGAAGGCCACTTTGTGAATTTGTGAACTTTTGAGGCCGAGGGCCAACTTGTGAATTCTGAAATTATGAGGCCGAGGGCCAACTTGTGAAGTATGAATCTGTAACTTGTGAAACTATGAATCTCAAAGGCCGAGGGCCAATTTGTGAAGTTATGCATCTAAGTTAAGCCAAGGGCTAATTTGTGAATGTGTGAACCCATCAGGCCAAAGGGCCAACCTATGAAGTTTATGAACGACAAGACTGTTCTGAAATGTGTACAGAATCAAACTAACCACAGGATTTTTTGCATTTACTTATCTAATTAGAAAAATGTGTACATTGTAAGTAAATTAAGTTAATCTTTAAATTGTTTATGTCTACTGTTCACTGAGCTTGACTCACTTTGTCTTATGTTGTTTCTGCAGGCACTCCACCTGGAGGTTAGTTTTAACCCATGGCATCCGTGCCTCTTTTGTCAACCTCAGAGTATCCAGGCACTTAAGTGAAGGCAGCCTTTTTGCTAAACTTTTGATTTTACACTCTGATTGTTTGCTTAAGGTTGATGTATATATAATTCCTTTGCCTGTCCATGTTGTTTTACGCCCAATTCTAAGGGCTGGGTCTGTATATATATATGTACATAACTAACTCTCTGGTGCACGTCACTGTATGTTTATTTGCCTTATGTTCTGTCTGTGATCCTAGCATGATAGTGGTCGCTCAATGGATGCAGTTCTTTTATTTATGTTAATTTATATTGGTAAATGCTTCCGTTCAGGGCCCCATATGATATGTATACCAGGTTATGCGTCCGTTTCTGTGTAGGTCATGCCCAAACTTTTTAGGGGCAAGTTTGGGGCGTGACAAGTGGTATCAGAGCACGAGTTGCTATCTCACACACGAGTCCATTGAGCCTTAGGGTGTCTAGAAAGAACTTAGGCATCATGCATGACATTTTGAATGAAAATGGAAAAATTGATAGCAACGTTAAATGTACTCTGTTAACGCTAACGATTATAACCATGTCCATTTATTATTCTTTGTGTATATTGTGAATGATTGTTATGTAGAACATAATAAGACATGCAGATGCGATTAAATCAACAAAATTACACTGCAGAAGCGTGGTAAGGGTTCGAGCTGATCGGTAAGACAATCCATTTGTCAATGATTAAATAAGATGTAAGGTATCGGTTGTTATTTGTGGATTGGAAGTTTACTTACCATCTGTTTAGGTGAAGTGATTAAACTCTAAGTATAGAATATTTCTAAGACTAAAGAAAATGATATAGTCCTCTTTGCCACAAACAATGTTTAGATATGTGATTTCGAGCAATTACTACACATGAGTATTTTGATAAAATGTGTTTGTGTGCTAACTGAAATTGTGCTGAGTACGATTGGCTGTAAGAAGAAGTTAGGCATATGATGACCCTGTTAGAATTGTGTGTAATTTGTTTATGGAAACCTGCGATCTGAAATCTGTAATATGAAATTTGAAGTTGAAATCTGAAAGCTAACTCTGTTATCCGTAATCTATTTTGTTATGTGTAAACTGTAATCCGTAATCAGGATTTCTTATAAAAATGGTTGAACAACATGGAGGACCTTACCCACATTACGTGTCTGTTTACATGAGACTTGTAACAAGATAGACAGTTATGGACTACTTCGAGATCAAACTAAATGATTGATAAACGGAATAAGTTACTGTAAGAATTAAAAATTTGTTTCTGTATACTAATGACTTAAGATTGAGAAATCATTTCTGTGATATATTTCTGCGTAAATGTGAAAATGTTAGATATTGCAATTGTTCTGCACGACACTGTGAACTTTAGAAAAAAAAAAGAAGAAGAAGAAGAAGAAGAAGAGTGGGCATGGGCATATTCTATATTGATGGTGAGTTAACGGTATGTACTGGACATTTACCTCCTCCGGTGTATTTATATTGATTTATATAATATGTGCGACGTGATTCCGAGTTGATTTCTTATTTTTATTAAACTGATCTGGCTAAGTGTTCTAACTCTGATATTAAGTGGTCAAATTATTTCGTCGCTAAATTTGTTGAATTTCAAGCCAATATGGAATCTGGATGGATGTGAATACTGTAAACTTAAGGAAATCTATGACCTTTAGGTTATGACTGATTAATCAAGCATGATTTTGAATTTGATTTTTGACTTTGTTTTGAGTGGCTCCCTTTGCTCAAAATAATGGTTGTTATAGTTGTATTTAATGTTCGATTGAATTTATGACGGTATGACCAAGTATCTACAATGGTATGTTTGCGTGAATTTATAACACTATAGGTTATTTACTTTGGTATAGTCATAACTACTTGATTTCTCCTTGTGTTACTGTATTTAGAAGTAATACTGCGAAGAATTAACGATATTGATTGGGATTCTTCTTCCCATCGTTCTAATCTTGTTACGAATTAGTATATATGGTTTTAAATCCATATAACGAAATGATTTTGTTGTGTTTTCGGAAATGGAAAATACAAAGAAACAATTGTGAAGCTAGAGACTACATGCCTATACGACTTATTCATGTCTGTTGAACTGATGTACAGCTTGGGTTTACCAGCTTATCACTAAGTGACTTCTATTATAGGAATTACCAAGTGCTGAGATTTGTATACGAACTATTAATGCCTGTTAACCATAAAGGTTTGAGCCGCATTTGATTTTACTAATAATTTACCCTGAACATGTAATTCCTTGATATGGGATTTTGAGCTGTTTCTTTGGAGTCTGTTAGAAATTTGATTTGAATTGATAATTTATAATAGGTACGACAGAAGTCACGAAGTCGTTGATTTAGAACATATGTTTATTCTAGATTTAATTGTTGTAAGAAGCATATGCCTTTGAAACGTGAGTATGTAGTAAATGTCTCCTTAACCTTTGAGGAATTACGATAATGGGGGTTGTTGTGAACCTAAAGAATTTGAATTATGTTTAATAGCTTATGAGTTGCGTGCAATCGAATACTCGAATGAATTCATTTCTGTGAGTAATAAATTGAAAATGTACAAGATTCATGAATAATGAGATGATGTTTTGATGATATTGAGTATTTTTATTAATTGGGTTACCAATTAGCTAGTAAAGATGAATTACTTGTGACTCTTGGAGCAAACTCCATTGAAATTGACTATATAGGATTGTGAATTGTTAAATAATTGAGAAATGTTGTTGTACCCAAGACGAAACTGGACTTGTGGCAGGGTGAATCAAGTTTGGGAGGACCAAACTTTTTAAGGTGGGGAGGATGTAACGACCCAAAATCCATATTAGAGATTACCTTTACGGCCTATTGGGTTAATGCATTTTGATTTATTGATATGTGTTCAAATTGAGAATTATTTGTTGACCACGACTGTAAAATTGAAATTACCGACCTTTACGGGTTCAGAAATCACAATTGAGGACTTGGATGTGTTAATGAAAATTTTTAGAACTATTTGGGAAACCTAATTGGAAATCTAATTTGTTTGATTTGTTAATGTGCGTTTGGGTGGTTAACTTTGTACTGCAAATTGAAGGCCTTAGAGGCTTCAGAAACCAGAATAGGGGACATATTTATGATCATCACAATTTTTAGAGTCATCTGGAAAGTTTAATTGAAATTTAATTTTCGCGATTCGTAAGGGCGTGTTTGGCCCTCCTTATTTGTGATAAAGCTTGTATAATTAATAATAGGTGTGTATGAGTTAATATAAGTGGTGAATCATACTTTTGGAGTCAAAAAACAAAATATCTAAAGAGGAGAGAGAGAAACGTGAAAGGGAGAGAGGGAAGAGTGTCAATTTTCTCAACATCCATGGAGGCTTTGAAGATGAAGGAAAGAATTGAAGGATGAAAGAAGATCACCCATGGGACTTGGAGGAATTGAAGAGAGCTAAGAGGTAGACAAAGATTGAGTTAGGTATGAAAATCTATCTTGAAATCTTGTGTTTAAAGTATCAATTTGGTAAAATCATAGAGATCTTGGAAGATTTAAACCCATTTGGGGTTAAGGTTTATCTATGTATTTACTTGAGCTAATTTGAGGAATTAGAAATTGAGTTCTTTAATTTTGTTTATGAGTGGAGCTCAAGCTCATGGATATCATGAAATAAACTTTAGATTATGCAAGAATCATGTGAATTTGTGGGTTGTGGGTTTGTGTTTTTAAGAACCTTGAAGATCATGAAAGGATTAAGCATTAATCTTGAACTTTGAGACAAAGATTGAATTGTTTGAAATGAAATTACATTGGTTGATGTTAGTTTATCATGTTATAGGGCAATTCTACATGTTTTTGAGTGATTTATGTTAAGAACCAAGCTTAAAAATGGAAAAACCAAGTGTTGGAGCAAAAAGAGCCATTTTCGGACTACACACTGCCCAGAGCCGCACGTGCGGCCCTGTTTCCCGCACGTGCGGGAGACTTGCTTTGTCCCGCCATCTTTGGAATAAGCATATCTTTTTGCCTCGGGGCT